TATCATACTATGCCCTTTGGGATTAAACAGTATAGTGCAAATAGTGAGCAATAGTAAATAAAAAAAGTAAAAAAATAGAAAGGCTATAGAATATTTAATCTTCCCAATTTACAGTGTTACTACACTAGGCATTGCAGTTAAATCAACTGGGCAGCACACTATTGTTAATTTCCGTATCAAACATCTATACCTAGTAAATTTACCAGATAAACCATTCCAGTAAATTTATAGTCAGTTTCACAATGTCTTTTAAAATTTCCCTACTTTGATTTCCCCTCTTTATTTTTATATTTAGTTTCACAATGTCTTTTAATTTCTTACTTAGATTTTCCCTGTTTATTTTCATGTTCACTTTCACATATTAGCAATTTTCTAGTTTGATTTTCTCTGCTTCATTTCTTCCTAACAGCGTAAAACAAGTTACATTGTCTTTGAAAAGAATTAAGAATTAAACTTGGCAGATGTGATTTGCATTTTGATTGTTATCAGGTGGATCCAATATAAAACCATCAGGTCCACACTTCTGTATCATAGTAGTGACAATGATTATTAGGTAAGATTGTAATGATTTCATTCTAATCAGACAAATGTGATTTGTATTTTAATAATTTCAGCTGAATATTATGCAAAAAAAATCCTGAGGATATGAAGGGATACATATTTCACTAGACCCCAAAAGTAGAAAGATGGTGTATTATAAAAGCATTCAAATTATTAATTTTGTTCAATTTCAGATTTCATGCTTATGGGATTTGAATGAATTTTGCACTAAGAGCACAGAACTAGTTTAAATCTTCCGCAGAATCAAAGGTGCAGATAACATGTTCAGAACAGATAGCCATGGAAATAATTGTCTCAGCTTAACTATACATCAGAATTTCTTAAAATTAAATGGATAAAATAAGATAAAAACTCAGGATGAAATCTGAGAAATAAACTCTGTTAAACCTCACAGAATGTACCTGATAACATAAAGCGAAAAGTTTCCTTGAGCTGAGTTTGACTTCTGATGACTTTATAGATACATCTATGTAGATTTCCTGGTAACAGTTCTGAAGTATCATATATATGATATTTAAGATATCCTTAAATATCACAATTCGATTCTTACTATGTTACAGAGCACCTGATTATGACATCGAACATGTAAACAAGCTAAATACATTACTAACATGGGCTACATCCTGCCCATACCCTTTTATCTTTCTTGGAGATTTCAATCTACCTCATATCGACTGGACCCTAAATAATTGTACAACTGAAATCATACACACAACCTTCTACAATGCTATTACAAATCTGGGACTGGAACAACTAGTAACCAACAACACTAGACTAAACAACTGCCTCGATCTCATCTTCTGCAATAGTTTGAATTTAATTTACGGAATACAAACTAAAGAACCCTTTTCCAGCAGTGACCACAATATGATTGACTTTTGTCTCAACATACGTCCACACAAAAATCACCTCAATGATGTAATCCCCAATTGTAACTTCAAAAAAGGCAACTATGATCTTATAGACAACGACCTCTCATCCCTTGATTGGCAATCTCTATTCTCTGGATGCAATACCGTTGAAGACCATTACAACATATTCTTACTTGAAATCAAAAGAGTCATCATACTATATGTTCCAACAACAACTCCCAAAACAAAACAAAAAAGAAGATTACCCATATCAATAAGGAAACTTCAGTCCAAAAAGAGATCACTCTGGTGGAAAAACAAATCTGGTCACGTTGCCAATTTCAAAAACCGATACAAAAACTTATGCCACCAGATAAAGACCGAATGCACCAATTATCACATTAAACAAGAAGAAAACCTTCTAAGCACCAATTCCACCCGTGCTTTTTACAATTTTGTAAACAACAAACTAAAAGACTCAAGGTCCATCCCTCCCTTGATAGGACCTGATGGTAAAGACTGCAACGACGACACCATTAAAGCCAACATCTTTAACACATTCTTCGGCTCAGTATTTGTAAACAGCAATGGATCTTGCCCAGTATTTCCTAACCGTACCACAGATAACAACAATGACCTAATACATATCGATTTCACAGAAGACAATGTTGAAAAATCACTACGCAATCTAAAACCATCCCTATCTATTGGACCGGATGGAATATGTGCCTACTTCTTAAGAAAGCTATCCACTGCCATAGCCAAACCTCTAAGCATAATCTTTGAAAAATCTTTCAGGACCAGCTCCTTGCCTAACCTATGGTCACAAGCCACAGTCATCCCCATCTTCAAAAAGGGAGACCCAAGCCTAGTTGAAAATTACAGACCAATCTCCTTATGCTGCGTCACCTGCAAAATCATGGAATCAATTATTAACCAATCCATCATCCTCCACTTAGAGACAAACAACCTACTCTCCAATAAACAATTTGGTTTCAGAAAAAAACTATCCTGTAATCTGCAACTCTTACACTGCAAAAACATATGGACGACACAACTCGACCAGGGCAAAGCAATAGACGCAATCTACATAGACTTCTGTAAAGCCTTTGATTCAGTGGTACACGACAAACTACTCCTAAAAATAAAATCCTATGGTATATCTGGACAACTGAATAACTGGATAGAAGCATTCCTGTCAAACAGACAACAAATGGTCAAAATCGGGAGAGTCCTATCAAATCCAGTACCTGTCAATAGTGGTGTCCCTCAGGGCAGTGTTCTAGGACCAACTCTCTTCATACTCTACATAAACGACCTCTGTGATCATATTAAGAGCAATTGCGTTCTCTTCGCTGATGATGTAAAGCTGTTCAATACCACAGACAATACTGCTACCCTACAAAAAGATCTTGACTATGTATCCGAATGGTCAAACAAATGGCAACTTCAAATCTCAACAAATAAATGCTCTGTCTTACATATTGGCAAAAAAAATCAGAAAATAAAATACAAGCTGAATAGTCAAGACCTTGTTGATGACCCAAGCTCTGTAAAGGACCTTGGAATACTCACCTCTAATGATCTGAGTGCTAGAGCCCACTGCAACTACATAGCCAAAAAGGCATTAAGAGTTGTTAACCTAATCCTACGTAGCTTTTTCTCTGGCAATATCACACTACTAACCAGAGCATACAAAACATTTGCTAGACCAATACTCGAATACAGTTCATCAGTCTGGAACCCTCATTACGTATCTGATATTAGCACAATTGAGAAAGTCCAGAAATATTTCACAAGAAGAGTTCTCCACTCTTCTACTCGTTGTAGAATACCTTATGCCACCAGACTTGAAATTCTAGAACTAGAAAACCTTGAATTACGCCGTCTTCGGTCTGACTTAAGCATGGTATA